AGCAGTGTCAGCGCTATATAGAACAGCATGGGTTGGGCTTCATACCTAGGCACTGCAGCTGCCTTACTTCCTGGTTTGCACCTTCCTTGCCAGCCCAAGACTTTCTCTTCCGGCCCTTCGTCATGCCTGGAAGAATGGACACCCAAAGAATAGGGTATGAGGCACCTCCGCCAGCAGGACAAGGAGTTGCTGGATATAAGGACGTCTCGTCAGGCAGAGAGGGAGAGCACCAGAGAGAGAGAGCACCAGAAGCAAACCAAGACCTAGGAGGAAACACAGGGCAGGAGGTCACCCTCCACCCTCACTCAGGGCGCGAGGTCACTCTCGTTGGGTTCAGTTCAGTTCAGTTTAGTTAGATTTGCGAAGTCATGCTTCGCCCAGGCCTTTTCTCTGGAGTGGCCCGGCCTGTGTCAACTATTTCTAGTTAACTCATGTGTTTTCTTTGAACTGCATGCTTATCGTGGTGGCTGAATTGCGAGCAAGCGATCCAGCTGCCATGGAGTAAGCATCTGGCAAACCCTTTTTACCAGCCCGGTGGCAGTGGTGGGTCTTTCCTTGGTACTGTCAAGCAGGTATTGGAGCTCCTTTTTGAAAGTGAGTGTGTGTCCTATCCATACACCAAGGTATAGATAGTCCTTTACCCATTCCAGATCCATACCCTGAACAGTGAGTTTTTTGTTTCTGACATTAGTTCTCAGAGCCATTGCTTTTGATTTTGCTGCCGATACTTTTAGACCCGTCCTACAACACTCTTCAGACACCAGGTTCAGACAACGCTGAGCTCTAGTTAGGCAGATATTGCCAGACGCTATTTCCAGGTCATCAGCATAGGAGATGATCTTGCATCCTTCTGGCAGGTGAATGTCGAGTATGTTGGACATGAGGGTGTTGAAAAGGGCTGGACTGAGAGCCCCACCCTGAGGTGTTCCATTCTCAAGTGGCATGTACTGTGAGAGGTGGCCTTGAAATCTGACATTTGCTGATCTATTTTTAAAATAGTTGGCTATCCAGGCCGAGAGTCTACCTTTGACTCCTTTGCGGATTAGGGTCTCCTGAATGGCAAGGCGGCTTGCCAATTCAAAAGCCTTCTCCAGGTCTTGAAAGACAACCACGGCGGGTGAGGTGCATATTGTGCTTAGGAGTGTGGAAAAGCTGTATGCTGTGCTCTTACCCCTTGTGAATCTGTGCATGGAATTGCTTCTTTTACCAGGGTCATTAGGCCTCTAGCACCATTCAGGTTTGGAGTGGCGAAGACGTGATAGCCTGAGAAGCGCGCAGATTTCATAGTCAGTGTCTCCTGGGGCATGAGGTCAATGCTCCTTGCTCGCTCTATTGACTGGAAAAGGAGTTCGTACTATTATAGCTACAGATATTCCACTGCAGAATGCTTAGATTGTGTACCATGATGGTTACTCAGAGTCACTTACTTCATATCTGTCTCAAACTTCAGAAGCTCCAGTGCTGGTGGCATCTGATATATATAGATCCTCGTTGATTGAGGATCGTACATCTTCCTCTAAGTTTGACACTCTGGTTGAGGGTCTACCGGGAGGAGTAGAGCCTAGATTAGAAGTGCCACCTCGAGTTAAGGGATCAGCCCTTGGCTGTACAGACTCGGCCTGTAGTGAGGGCATCTGCTGTTCAATTTCGGTCTGTCCTGACAGACTAGCTGGGGTTTCACATGATGCTTCTCCCGAAGCTAGCCTGCCATTCGAGGCTCTGTTTCGGTTTGGAGGCTTCGAACATCCTTCCCTTCAGTGCTGCAACAGTTTGGGTTATAGCCGTCACGGCGACCTGGACTGCCTTCTCCACCTCCTCAATGGTCCTCCCCAAGGTTGTTGCTACTGCAGAAACTACAGCACTCAACAGGAGAGTCATATCCTTCTCATCAAAGAAAAGATTGTTGTCTACTGGGGGACCTTTGCTGTGGCCTTTGAAACTGTTTTCCTTAGTTTCTTTTTCTTGCCACTAGCAAGCTTGGGGAATTCCTCTGGATTGGAGGTATCCAGTTTTGGCTGGGGAGGTGTCTCCTTCCTCTTAGGAGGTCGGGGAGTCTTTTCCTTTTATTCTGTCCCCAGACATTGCCTGGGGGTGCTGGATAAAGTCAGGACGCTTTTTGGCTTGTTCCTGTTTTTTATGACTGTTTCCTGGCAGAGCTAGCCAGGCTCCAGGCATGATGTCTCTTGGCACAGTTTGGACACTTGGCAGTAGTGTCCTTCTGGCCATCTTTGTGTGCCTTGCTGCATACACATTTGGCCTTGGCCTTGCAGTTGGCCTGGTGATGCCCAAATTTTTGGCAAGTGAAGCACCTTAAGGGCTCTGCCACATATGTCCTGAGCTTGTACGAGCCGCAGTTACCCAGATCAAGGGTGGTGATTGGGGCTCCCTTGAGGGTGACCAGGACTTGCCTGGTTGGAGACTTCCTTTGGCCATGCGGGAAGCCTCTACCACTTGAGGGAGAGACATGATCACCTCCACAGAAACCAAGCAGCGCCATCTTGGTCTTTTTCTCTAGGGAGGTCAGTGGCAAGATACACACTTTTCTCCCATCTTTAAGCACTTTGGTCTCCTGCAGGAAGCTCAGGGTGGCTTTGTCTTTGGGCACGATGATCTTGCCCTCATCTCTAGCAATTTGGATTGAAAGTCTGATTTGCCTTTTCCAATGCCCTAACCAGCTAGTATGCATTGTCAAAGTCTTCAGGCTTCTTTGGTACCTTAAAGTGCATGAAGCGATTTGGGGTGGATTCAGACTCTTCTTCAGAGTCAGTTTCCACCCTTCGTCTCTTCGTGCCTCCCCTTTGATGGGGTTTAAGGCCTTTAGTTGTAGGGGCAGCTGGTTTGGCTGGTGATGTGGATAGAAAAACACATCGGGCCATATTGTAGGCTTTAATAATAATTAAACAAAACGTAGGACACTGCAAAGATGAAAGAACACTCTTAAACTATACACTAAAGAAACTAAAGGAATCAGACATATATCAGTGAAAAACACTCCCGCCGAAAACTAGTAATACACACCTGAAGTTCCCTAATAATTGACATGTTGAGAGGCAGGCATGCCAGTCTGGCCGGGTAGTGCGAGCAGCGGTCAGGAGTGAGGGAGCACTCACGTCGCGGTTCACAGTCGCCGAGACTACCTAAACGATCCAGTAACAAAAAATTAACAATGGTTTGCTAACAAGAGTAATTCCAGTGAAGTTCAAATTTATTACCACGACTATCCCCTACACGACGATTCGAAACGAGTAGGTGGGCGTCAGATACGGCTGGGGTAGTGTCTAGGTACTGGAGCTTCCTCAGCTAGTTCTTGTTGTGGTAGAGGAGTTGAGGTAGACTCAGGAGATCATTCTTGAGGAACACATTAGTAGATTCTATCGTATGGGAAGGCACGTCACTTGATTCACAGCCAGGACACATGTTTCAGAACCAGCAGGAGCCAGGTGTCTGACAGATACAGTGTCCTCCTTACCATCAGATACCGAATGTGGGCGTACTGAGGATTTGCTTGTATAAGTTCGACCTCATCTACTAGGGGTTCGGTCTTGCTTGTTCGTACATGGCGCCTTGAGGACCGGACCAGGCTCACACAACCAAGATGGAATAGCAGTTCCTGTTGAAGAACAACGAGCGTAATTAAACAGACGTTCATGAGGAGTAGCATTAGTAGCAGTGCATAGTAATGAACGAATTGAATGGAGGGCGTCAGGAAGGACAGTTTGCCAGTACTGGGTTGGCAGGCCACGAGACTTCAAAGCAGCCGTAATGGTTCTCCATATACTCCCATTGAACCGTTCAACCTGACATTACCCGAGGGTTATGCAGTAGTCCGACTGCAGCCAATACCTTTGCTGACCAGGAAGTCTTGTACTTCTTTACTCATGAATGATGATCCTCTATCCGAGTGCACATATGCTGGCATACCAAAAATGGAAAAGAGTTGAGAGAGGCAATTAATAACTGTTGCGGCAGTCATATTGGGACATGGAAATACAAATGGAAATCTTGAATATTCGTCAACAATATTGAGGAAATATTTCTTATTATCTGTGCTAGGAAGGGGTCCTTTAAAGTCTATGTTGAGGCGTTCAAATGGCTGTGTAGCTTTTATGAGATGGGCCCTCTCGGGCTGGTGAAAGTTTGGTCTGCATTCAGCACAGGACGTTTTCCAAAGAGTAAGGCAGATTCCTAGATTTGATGAAATGAAGCAACCGTCTGACACCGGGATGACATAAGGTATGAATGGCTGACAGGGACCGCTGGTCGTGGCACATCATGCCGCAGTAAGATCTGGAAAACATGTCAGGAGTAATATTTTCTCTGCCTGGTCTGTAAATTATGTCAAAGTCATAACAAGATAACTCCATTCTCCACCTTAGGATCTTATCGTTCTTTACTTTTATCTTATGTCGTTTGTTAAACATGAATCTTACAGAACGTTGGTCAGTTTTGATAGTGAAATGTCTTCTAGTCAAGTAGTGTCTCCAGTGGTGGACACTTTCAGTACTAGCTTGAGCCTCTTTTTCTACAGCAGTATGACGTCTCTCGGGTCCCTGAAGAGTTCGTGAGAAAAAGGCAACCGGACGTCCAGCCTGAGTAAGGACGAGTTGCTTGGTTCGATGATTTCTTCCTTCAATAGCCTTTGTACTTCTTTTTCTATAAATTCGCGGTCTTCAGTGGAGTAGCGCCGGGATTTGGCTGTAACAGGATGGCAATCAGCTGTAAGATTGGCAAACAACTCTGGAGGATCAATCTTTAGCACACCGAGTCCACAAATAACGAGCGGGGGCAAATCACCACCGTAATTCAACTGAACACTTTCATGCAGTTTCTGAAAGTCTTGGCCAAGAATTACGTCAGAACATAACTTCGGGAGCACAGTGAGGCATGCACTTTCATAATCCCGGCCGTTCACTTTAATGTTAACCTTGCAAACTCCAGACGTGTGAGCAGAAAGAAAAGTGGAAGCCATGGTCACAGCACTTTTAGTGCTGTACATTTAATCAGTGGTGTTTAACTAAATCTGGATGAATGAAACTCTCTGAACTACCACTGTCAATGAGGACATCAGCTCTGATTCCGTTGATCGAAACTCTCGTAACTGCTTTCAACAAGATGCTAAGAGTAGCAGCACTAGTTATAGTGGCAAGCATAGCACCATTGTTAGGAGTCACAGAACCACTTACACTCGAGCTACGGCACAATTTCGAGAAATGACCGTTCTTCTGGCACTTATGACACACCGCATCACGAGCAGGGCACTTTGAACATGGATGCCGTAGAAGACAACAAAAGAAACACTTTGCTTTCGTAGCACTTGCCGCGAGAACGGATTCTAAATCACTAACATTAGTTGTATTTTCATGTGCTACATCAACAGCGCGCGAGGACAGAGCACCACCATAAGACTCTGAGTTTTTCTGCGCCAAATCGAGAGCCCATGCCTGGTCATACATAGTAGCCAGATCAAGCGTCTTATTTTCCAAAAGGCGCTGTCTGATTGCTGGTGATTGCAAGCCGCTAATAAACGCATCCTAATGTATTCTTCACAGGGCTGAGTTGCTGTTACTGCCGTAAAATTACACTCTTTACTATTTTCAGAGCACGAAAACACACGTCCAAAGACTCGCCTGGTTCCTGACGACGAGCCGCAAGGCGGTGGCGCGCGAACACTTCATTAGATGGCTTCACAAACTGAGATTGTATGCAGTTAAGGCGTCGTCGTAGGTAGTGCACTCGGAAATTCATAAATCTTTGGCGACACAAAATTGATGAGAAGTCCGAGCTTTTCAGATTCTCTTGCGGCAGAACGGCGATGAAGGTCTTGAAGGTCTGTAGCCAATGCCGCCACTCCTGTGCTGCTGTGGGTGAGTTAGTTCACAGTCTAACCTTTCAGGTTTCAATAGACGCTCCATTCCGTCGAAGTTATGAGGTTGATACAGACCGTCAGGCACTCGAGACTTGTTTTATGATGTGGGTAGAAAAACACATCGGGCCATATTGTAGGCTTTAATAGACAAAAATAAAACGTAGGACATTGCTAAGATGAAAGAACACTCTTAAACTATACACTAAAGAACTAAAGAAATCATATATCAGTGAAAAACACCCGCCGAAAACTAGTTAATACACACCTGAGTTCCCTAATAAGAGACACGTTGAGAGGCAGGCATGCCAGTCTGGCCGGGTAGTGCGAGCAGCGGTCAGGGAGTGAGGAGCACTCACGTCGCGGTTCACAGTCGCCGAGACTACCTAAACGATCCAGTAACAACCATTTAACAATGGTTTGCTAACAAGGGTAATTCCAGTGATAGTTCATATTTATACCACAGCTGGTTCAGCTTGAACCTCTGCTTGACTTTGAGAATTCTCTCGGTCTCAGCTGCCGGCCAGGAGAGGCCAGCCCTTGAGTCCAATTGCTGGACTATTTCATGGACAGACTTTGTTGGGGGTAATTTTTTTTTTCATCTTGTCCATTCTTTTTGTTGCAGGCCGGACACAATTGGCCTGCGTTTTTTGCTTTCTTTTGTCCCCTTATAGCCTTGTAGGGCTTCAGGGTGGCTGCCTTGGTCAGTTCCATGCTGTGGTCGTTATCTTTTTTATCATTTACAGAGGGGGTTGTTTTGTTTGTATTAGCTATGTGATATTAGCTTCTGCCTCATGCAACCTCACCCACCACGGAGTCCAACATGGGAAGCTGTATGTTAGAACACATTCTCTAACAACCCCAGGTGCTAACGTGAGGGTATATGCAGCCACTCTGTTGTTTGTGGGATGGCGCTTACGGGACCTGTATGAGGCCAAACAACACAGCAACTGCTTAACCCTAGCCTCCTGTTGGAGACCAGCCGATTGACCTGATCGGGCCAGACAGGCCGCCCGTCTTGTTGGAATAGAGGACCAAAGAGGCGTTTGCTAGCCGTACTCATTCACGGCATCACTCAAACTCCATGACTCCCGTCTCCCAGCTCACAGGGCTGCCATGCATGGCAAACGCTTAGGACATAGAACCCCTGGGGAGAGACCAGAGGGGATGCAGACCCTCCTACTGGTAAGCATCCTTGAAAGTGGGGCTCAGCTCTTCCTAGGTATTATTCATTGGGGGCGGCTGCCTCAGCAGGAGGAAGAGGGAGCAGTCCCAAGACCAGCCAACCTAGGAAGTTGAGTTGGTTTCTGTGAGAGGATGACACCTCTATTTTGGCTAAGGCCCCTTCCAGTAGCTCTGTCTAAGGGAGGGCCGCCTCAACGAGAGGGAGAGGGGGCCACCCAAGGACCAGAGTCACTGGAGGGTCTTTCATGAGAGGATGACACCTCTATTTCGGCAATGACCCCTTCTAGTATGTTAGTCCATAGGGAAAGACCATGAAAGACTAGGGGTCTTTCATGGCTTTGAGCAAGAGGATGACACCTATGTGTTGGCCGTATTCTGCGAAGCCACCTAAAGGCATAGCAGAAGTATGGATAGTACACTATCCTGGGGTTGAGTGCTTCGAGGATGACACCTCTTTCTGGCTTTGTCCTTCTTTGGTGCTAGTCAGTGGCCGGGCCACCTCAACGGGGGGGAGAGGGGCCACCCATGGGTCAGCACAACTGTGGAAGGAACGGAAGGAAGGAGTTTCTGTAGAGCCACCCAAGGGCTTTCAGAAACATGGTAAGGCATTAAACTCAACAATGCCAATACCATCAGGGACACTGTTCAGTTTAACAGCAGCTAATATAACACTAAACAGGTGTTAGAGGGGAACTACCTGCCAAATCATGGCTAGATGAGTGAGTTAAGGTGGCAAGTTAAGATGGTCTGCCAGACTGGTCCCTATCAAAGAGCGACAACTCTGTATGTGCACTATAAGGCAGGCACACTAAGCCCCCAGACACACCCTGCCCTTCGGGAGTAAAGGTCTGCCCACGTCCGAGCACGAGCCCGAGATGAGGTCCAGTTCACCAGAAGGTGAAGAAGTGGTGATAGTAAAAACAGGGCTACAAGGGGCGAGACCAGCTGTGAGCAGTTGGTCTCGCAGGCGTCAAGGCATGCACTACCAGTGCACAGCGCAATCACAGAAGGATCACACAAGCTGGGGTCGCCACTAATGGAGGAGTCAAATCCTCTCTTTAGTAGGCCTCCATGACGACCCAGAACCATCATGTCCCCCCTAGGGTCGTCCCGAAGGCAGGGCTATAACCTCATCACTGGGAGAGGAGAGCGCCTGCCTGGGTGGACCGAAGGGGAGGGTCTGATGGTCTTTGGGCGCGAGCACCTCCGAATTACGCTGGGCACTACATAGGGGGGCCATGCATATGAGCGGCGGCCGCCGGGGTCCTCGTCGAGCGCCAGGAACCACGTGAGAGAGCGAAAGCGGGAGCGAGAGCAAGGGGTAGAGCGTGAGCGAGTCGAGAGAAAAAGAAGAGGTAGAGGTAAGTATAAGAAAAGAGGGAGGAGAGAGGAGAGGAGAGGTTCTGGTGCTGCTGGTGTGTCTATATTGGGGTCGTTGGGTTGGGTCTTTACCCTCAGCAATGAACCAGCAAGCCAAGTCCCCTTTCATTCTCCACCACCTCCACGCCCCCCAACTCCTACGTTTACAAGCAGACATACACATATGTATATATATGTGTGTATTTATGCGTGTATATATAAATACACAGGTAGATGCATATAGATAGATAAACAGATAGATAGACTGACATACATATAAATATAATCAATGGAGAGGCAGAATGACCGATAGATGGATAGACAGATTTCCTTAGTTTTATAAACACATAAAAAATATGACGAAACTATAAAGACGGAACAGGAATCGGATGACAGGCTCCCTTACAAGTACAGTGTGCAAAAGTATGGAAAACCTCGTGTAATATGATGCAGAACACTGGAGAATAAGAATCTATTCGAGGGACTGACCGGTTTACATCCCGCTGACATGATGAATGTTTGTTGAATTGAGTAAGTACAAACGGGATTACCCAGGTGTTCTCATATCACTTTGTTCAACTGAAAGCCTTTCGTTTACGTGGTGCCCACATTCCTTTTGATGACAGTCATGACATAACCGTAATGTGGGATTGTGGTCTATATGCCTTCGTTTAGATGGCATTTAGAAAAATGGAAAAAAGAACAAACATACAAAGCTTAGCTATTTCCGAATAAGCGAGTGAGACTAAAAGCACGTGTTCATGACTGCACTGTCAACTATGGTGACGATGTGGCCACTTTTGTCAACAGGCCATCTTACTCATTAATAATGTCATTAAGCCGACATCGCCACAAACATTTTTCCCATATATTAAAGTCCTTTGCTTGATGTAGATCCCATACTAAATTTGCCTTATCCTAAAGCCTCTGGCTATCTGTATGACTGTGTATTATGTGCAACATAGAAACTGTGGCGATGCTTAATCAAATTTACATTTCCTTTAGTGTATCTCAGTGCAGTCCCCAGGACAACCAGGCATCTTTGAGGATATCTCAATATCTATTGAAAATGCAGTGGGGAGCCTGCATGCATCGTGACACTGGCGATCGCAAACTATTTTAGGGGTACAGATTTTCTTGCATTTATGTTTTCACGTGACGTCATCAATTAGGCGTCTGCCTTATTGATGTATTGGCGACTTGGATCGCTTGTGTGCGCCCATTCCTTCCATTTGTTTCTCTTATTTCTGTGGATTTATTAAGGTAAATTACTGCCGTGTCTATGGATATAATAACCGGCAAAATCGAGTTTCCTTTACAAAGTTATAAGCTGCCGAAAATAATTCGAAATAGAGGAGAAATGTGCTTCCTCGCTGAATCAGAATCTTTCAGGAAAAAAATGGATAATATCACGTGTGCTCAACTCATTTTCCAAATATTCTTTTTAGATAACATTAACTGAATCAGAGAAGAAAGAAGCAACTGTTAAAGGGCATTAGCTAAGCCAACAACTAAAAACGCAGCGCTAATTTTAGCATCACATCCAACATTTTTTTGTTTCGTTACTGGGATTATTATGAACCGGTGAAATATTAATCAGTCAGAGTACAATTTATTTTCATTCTTGTGGCAGTGTAGCAGGAAACAGAAATAACAATTTTCATTTTCATCTTTTTGTAGGAAAAAAGGTCTTTGTAATGTTCCAGATCTGTGTATGATCTTCTTGTAAATAATAATAAACAATTTACAAAGTCTGTGTACGTTGTCTCTGGCAGCCCGTTCCAGTCAGGTGATAAGTTTACGACACTGTGGATCCATGTCACTGATTATGTCCATTTTTCTCTTGTATCCTTCTTTTTCATTTGGTCGAAGACCTTCCCTGTATTTTTCTACAGCATCTGACTGTATTTTCAAAGCTATGGGCATGTTAAAATCGTAGACATTTTAAATAAAAGCGCGTTTGGTCTTTTCCTTGCGTGCTGTGTTTTTCGAAATGCCCCAATATGGCCTTTACGCTCTATAGTTTCGTGCTGTTTTTACACGTTTTCCAACGTTCTGAATCGCTTCAGCCAGTTTTCAAGTATCGATGTATCACCTTAGGCATTTCTGCGTATCGATGTCCATCTGTGTCTGAGACATCAGTGCAAACACTATAGGGCCGGTCATCAAAACGAAAACACAACGCTCTTTCGGGGACAGCACTGGTGGGCAAAAGATCAACAATGGCCGCTGAATCATCTGTGAGAACGATGTCAACCTACTACAAATCTCTCGATTAAGATGCTAAGAAACGTTATGATGAAAAACTTATGAAATGATGGTTTCCCAGATCCTTTCTCTCTCTCTGATGGCTGGTCTGGTGTGAAAGCCCCAATGGTTGGGCCGATGTTAGTTTTGGTGATATTTATCTCAACCTGATACACAAAACATTACATAGTTATGTGCATGCACATCTCACTGGTGAACAGAAACAAGAATCAGCTGCGAGAAAAGAAAAATGTCGGTAAATTATAAATCTCGACTTGGCGGCGAAAAACAGATGTAGCGAAAAGTTGCGGAATTCTACGGGTACAAAAATGTTACCAGAACCGTATTCTTTATCGGATATTTGCTCAGACGAACACAAAAGTTGGCCTAATATTTCTTTCGGTGACATGTATCTGTACCTTATACAAACACCTGGTGTTTACACATTGAATGAACTAGAGGCCTACAAATCTCTAAAGGATATAAGTTTGTACTCATTTAATGTTTCCCATTTAATGTTCTTGCGATTGATAGCCAAAGCCTCCCTCTCGGCAGACGAATAAAACTCGAAGCTGAACCTTTTTGCAATCCACTGCACCTCCAATAATAATGCAACTATTTACAAAAAGAATGAAAAAGGATGCGAAGCTTATATAAATCGAGAAAAAAGAGACGATGCTCGCGGCAGACCAATATTTAATATCGATGTTCATGGGATTTTGTTGTTGTTTTTGCCCACCACTGCCTCCGATTGATCACGTGATAGCTCTAATGACGTCACGATGGCCGTCCCTACAGGATTTTAAACAAGACATGCTAATGTTAATATCTATTTACATACATGAATATCGTAATTCGTTTCATTACACCTGAACTACATTATTTCATGCGTTAGCCTTTTTTATATCTGTTACTGTTCATTTTACACCTTTGACAAAAAAGGCTAATTTTATTATCAACGAATTACGATAGAGCGTAACTTTCCTATTCCACGACAGCGAGTACATCGTGCCCATCCGCTGCCCAGGGAGTCGCCCTCACGATCGACGGGTTTTTGGATACCGTGATTGGCATTGATTAAGGAGCGGCGCGTGATTCAGGGAAGACCCAAAAGGCCTAGACCGTTATGCGAAGGCGCAAGGTTGAGCACCTCAGAGTTTTTTTGTTTTTTTTTGCCAATTCATATTGTCATGAGTTTGGTCATGGTGAAGTAATTATGACGACACAGGGAAATGTCTTTTCGCAATCTGATTTACTAGTAAAGTTATATCATTTCCTACAACATAGAGATAATTCATAAACTCTTCTTGAGGGACACAAGTGGCGTGTTTCTCATTCCAGACACGGGAGAATCACAACACTGTTGCCTACTAAGTTCATGAATCAGCTATGGCATTTCCTCTTGCAACAATATAACTTACAACCAGGCTTTCCTGTTGGTCTTGAAGTTATAAAACGTACCTGCACTGCTGAACATATAAATAAGATTCCGTTACATCTTTCCTTGGCAGTGATCACGTGGGGCTGCTGAGTTCTCCCGCGCCAGTGTTAATTGCTGCAGATGTAAAGGTATGATATAAAAATATATCCAGAAATACATGTTTGCGTCACCTGACCAGCTTCACCTCGGTTGTATGACGAGCTCACGAAACCTGTTATCGAGTATTATCCAACATGTATGTGATATAAAATAGTTTTTTTTTATTACTTGATATGACCGCTGTGCAGTTACGTGACCTTAGTCTGACTAGACGTGGCATCGAATTATGAGTTTTAAGAACTGAACTTGTAGGTTAGATTTCCTTTGCTCTACTGCGTCTGTCTCTCATTCGAAGAGGTGCCAAATAGTCATATATAGATTACTACTTCTATTGAAACATTACATATTCTGACATTATTTAGAGTTTAAACATGCAAGGGTAATCAAACACAGATCAAGGTAAACCAATCATTAGTTACATGTGAAGCTTAGCAGGTCAAATACAAATAGCGAAAATCAGTACTAGGCACACGCGTGACGTCACAAACCCAAAGCATGCGAGTCGGCCGAGAGGGAAGTCAGACCGCGCTGTGCAGTAGCGCAGAGTCTTTGTTTAAACATTGATGAAAAAATAAGTTTTCTCCTCTCCAAAGTCACGTGCAACTGCTGCCAATGCTCGTAGTAGTGTATGTGACAATCTCAGGGACTTCAGCGTAGGGAACATACAGTAACAAGCGGAATACCTTTGTTTAAAACCGCAGAAATTAAACTAACCTGAAGAAACTAAAGTGCGACTTTCGTTCTCATGCTGGCACGGTGCATGTAAACACAAGTCCAGGTATCCGAGTGAGTGTTGTGATCAGTGTTAATCCGCGAGTGCGATCACATGTCCTGCGGTAACTCGGGGGCGGGAGGAGGAGCGAGGGCGGGCGCTGGCAAATATCTGTGAGGAGGAGCAGCAGGACCGCCAGCCTCGCTTCCCGAACACCACTTCATTCCCTCAACTTATCTTAAGAGGTAAGTGTCACCAAGAAATTAGGATTCAGGTCTGGGGACTGAGAGCAGGATGAGTGTGGCTGGGCGCTTCACTCATTGGACTCGAGTACAGCTCCACTTCCACATCCGGTTGCCCGTTCACTCACGGGAACCTCATCCTTCAAGTTGCTTTGTAAGAGTCGTGTAATATGATGTATAATCGTCACGCTTCTAGTGGGTTTCTGGTAGTCAAAGGAGAAGGCGCGCGGTGCGGCGTTTCTACCAAAGTTAGATCTGCGGCATGAGTCAGTCATGAGTGCTCAGGGCGTCACTGACCTCAAGGGGCGCTGAGGAGGAACCCTCCCGCCACCTACTCATTTCATCCCTCCCTCACGGCCGTCGCTGGCACGCCTGCATTTCGCGCTGTGGCTGTGGAATCCTTCGCAAGCGCATGTACGCACCCCTGCCCCACAAGCACACGCATGCATGCATGCATTTAAGCACACACACACACACACCACAACACAACACACACAGACACACACACACACACACACACACACACACACATACATACATACATACATACATACATACATACATACAAACACCCCCCCCACGCCCCCCCACACACACGTACACACACACACGCGTGCGCGCACGCACGCACGCACGCACGCACGCACGCACGCACGCCGCACGCCACGCACACAACACACAACACACACACACATCCACACACACAACTCACACACACACACACACACCACACACACACACACACACAAATGTATATATAAATATATATTTATATATATGAATATATATTTAGATGATTAGATACACGAACTTATACATATATACATACACGAGAAAAAAAATGTGTATACATGTATGCCTAGTTATATTTTGTAGATAGGCCCATTATATTCTTTATGTAAATAGGCCTATTTATATATCTTAATATATATATATATATATATAATATATATATATATTATATATACTACATACATAGTATATATATATATATATATATATATTATATATTATAATATATATATATATATATATATGTATGTATATATGTGTGTGTGTGTGTGTGTGTGTGTGTGTGT